TAAACATTATCCTATCTGTAATTTTGTACGACTAATATGTACCTCTAGAGGTATGGACTACCTCAGGTCATTAATATTAACATTATCCTATCTGTAATTTTGTACGACTAATATGTACCTCTAGAGGAATGGACTACCTCACATACTTAATATTAAAAACATTATCCTAATTGTGATTTTGTACGACTAATACCCCCAGAGGAATGACTACCAAATCCTTAATATTTTAAACAGTATCCTATCTGTAATTTTATACGACTAATACCTCTAAAGGAATGGACTACCTCAGATCCTTAATATTAAACCGTATCCTAATTGTAATTTTGTACGACTAATACCTCTAGAGGAATGGACTACCTCAGATCCTTAATATTAAACCGTATTATAAATGTAATTTCGTAAGACTAACTGTTCGACCAGCTACTGTGTTGCGATAATCCAGTCTGTATAAACATCGCTGATGATATATAAGAATGAGAAGCAGCCCGTAGCTTGTGCATACAACAAGAACACCCGCATCGCTTTAAGCGAAGTGTACCTGTGAAGGGCAGTGATTCTAGGGAAATGTAGTCAGACATGTCATTAACCAAGACAATGCTCCCAATCCGAACTCTCCACTTTGCGTGAGATTGTTGGGAAATAATCGTTCCCACTTGAAAATGATTGCATCTGGAAGTCGGGTGCGTGTATGTAGGCAGAAGTCCCAACCCGAACTCTCCCTGCTGCACGTCGAGTGGTTTAGTGTTCATGGTCTTTTATGCGCGGCTGTGGCTGTATGTTCACACAGATTCAGGTCATGTGTATACTACCTAGTTTAATCTCTGACCGCTAAACCGCAGTTCTTCGTTCGCCGCAATGATCGTTAAACCCCCCATACATGTTAATACTATTGGCCGAGAGAAAATATCCTATGCAATGGCTGGGTGAATGAATCGGCTCGTAAGTATTTGTCGCATAGCACGAATCGAGCCACTGATTGTGTAGTGGTTTGAGGAAGGGCAATATATCGAGTTTATTAGAATATTTGTTATATTCGCTATTTATCTAATGGTCGACCCCGGCGCACATCTCGGCACTGTGCACACACCGCCAGCGGTGCTGAACACTACATCGTTCCATGTGGCCTCTCCTTTATTATTGATCTTGAATCCAGGTTGAATCTGCTCGAACACCTTCTTCTTTGGGTTGAGCTGCTCATCAGCCTCGCCTACACCACGACGCAGGTTGGATACAGACTCAAATGGTTAAGATACCGACCCAAATGGTGGGACGCCATGAACATACTAACGACAGGCAATCAGGCGCATATACGACTCAGTAGTACAGTGTTCACGTGGTAAGCAAGGCAAGCATACGGATAATCAACGCATCCGCTGATCGGAGACGATGTCTCGCAGTTGAACAACATCGACTAGCATTTGTGCCAGCTGACAGGAATAGCACATGCGCTTATATCATTTCAAAGAATCCCCACGCAGGCATCAACAGTCCTGCCACCAACGTTTGTGTACACAGCTATACAAATGGTCGCGCACACGTGTACACAAATGCGTGCTACAGGATTACATAACCGAATCCGTGTATAGACCCGACTCTGCAATGGACTCAGTAACATGCCTCGATGCAACGTATACACCTACCTGTGAAGCCTTCGAATGTGATCAGGTCTCCAGGCTTGGACCCGGTTGGGGGGGTGACCGTCTCAGTGATGGGAGCGTCAGCGTTGGTCGCGTCGACACCACACATGACCATGCCGCAAGAAAGAATACCACGCATCCTGTCCACGCGATGAGATACAGGTAGGAAGAGCCAACTGAAAATGGGCACACTACATATCATACGCTGAGATTCCGCACACTACCCCATGTCAGAGTGTAGCATACTGGAATATACTTAAGATCGGGCTTTTATGCTTAATTGAAGCATACTGTATATACTAAATATAAGCATTCCATCATGTACCGATTGTAGATACACCATTCTGTACCAGCACAAATCATGTTGTTTTACTATAGAGTTATGTACACTTTTCTAGTCTAAACTCAGGTACACTATGCTGCTTCATCTTGTATGCGCGGCACAAGAGTGTAGCACGAGCAGTGACAGTAATCATGATATACTAGTTGAGCCCCTCCACTTCTAAGCTTTCCTGTGGGTACAATTCTAAAATGTATATGCACGAAGCGTGAAACCCATTGCAACCTGCAGGCATCGGAAAAGCTACACTAGTATTCGACAGATATAAGAAGCCAAACACGTTTGGCCCATACCGCAGCAGAAGCCCGCAGTTGTACGTGGCAAGCGACCCAGGCAACAGTACTTGCGGCTATTATAGCGCAATAGGGATATGCATCTACCACTAAACATGTCGAGGAGCAAAGGTAACGAGGGGAACATGTATAGCGGAGGCGGAAAACCTCAACTGACATTGGGTATGACACAAAAGGCAACGGAATGTATATACAGACACCAATAAAACACAGCATCGCCAAACTCACAAGCATACTTTGCGGGTTTCAAGTTCAGCAACACAACCACATCTCTGCCCTTCATGTCCTCTAGTGTGTAGCACTTGACCAGCCCACTGATGATAGTGCGAGGTTTCTGTCGGAGCGTTATGGAAAAGAAAAAAGATCAGCGATGTATATTGTTGGGCTACACCTAAACAGTGGAATGGCTCATGAACTAATTGAACATCTACAGACTCTTAAGTATATCCTCAAATATGTACTCAGTAATCACAATTTTTCTCTCCCCAAAAATTCGGGTTAGAAATCGGAATGATCGGTTAAAACTTCCACTCCGACAAAGCCAATGATGTCGTAAACGCATACGAACATCACTACTTACACACGCGAGCGCTTGTATATTGCGTTCATCAAGATATTCGCATAAACAACAATCAAGTACCTCTTCTCCGACATCAATCTGTTCCAAGTACAGGCCATCAGCTTCGGGATGCTTCTCCACTTCAACGATCTTGCCAACCACCATTTTTAACCGAGAGATGTCTAGAGGCTTGTCACCGGCGGCCGGAGCTACACAACAGAGACCAGCATACTCGAAACATTCATAAAATACACAGTAGTGGTTTGCAGGTCACCTTAAAAATTGCAAATAAAATTCCGATACTGCCAAGGAAATATATTTAACTAGCAGGTAGGATAATATCTATCCCATTTTAGCCAGATCACCACATTCCCTGCATAGTCATTCAATATTGAAATGTAGTGCGTATGAAACCCCTACACACTCACACACATATATATACATACATAGATCTGAATGTCTATGCATACCCTTATCGGCCTTAGGTGCCTTAGCTTTCTTCTCCTTCTTCTGGCCACTGTGTTGGGTGGCAGCAGGTTTCTCCGCCTCAGTAGAAGTCGCACCGCCTGCACTTGGCGCGCTACTACCGGTAGACGAGGGCTCTGAGCTCGCCTTACTTAGATCCTCACCGGCAATGTTCTTGCCATCCAATTCAAACGCTGTTGTTGTGATTAATACTACCGATTTAAATAGGGTATGGACCAGGTGGTATCTATGCTGCAGACTGCGACTGCACCTCAACTACATGTGTCGAATGCTTGTGAGTCCAGGCACGGCAGGGTTCTTGTTACCAAGCTGCCAAACTATACGGATACATCGGCAAAATATTAAGCGGTTTGTCAGAAGCATGTGACCATCACCTGAGTTCCTATTCAATACTCTCATAGAAGCTCGACGTTATCAAAATGCAATACGAACACGCACTTTGTCGATGAATACGGAATACTTATACAATCAGTAAACTTGCAGGTTCGAATATGCTAACACTCGGTTTGTGTAATCGAAACTCTACGTGAGGGAGCCAACATCAGAGCTGCGGTTAGCCATAGAACCAGCGCGGCCCTCGTATATCATGCTCCTTTATTAATATGATAGACTTGACACTTCACAGCATATTTCAGAAAATATATATATATGCAGTCAAGAACGCAGCAAAGAACACAAATATTATACATACATGTATCCGTATATGCATACACTTATGCACATGTAATAATGCATGATGTATGTATATATGTATAACTATATGTAGTATATATATATATATATAATATACATACATGTATGTTCGTATACATATATATGTCAATACGCATGCAGTTTATACAAGTACGCACGGTATACATAAAGTGCCTGGTATGCAAGTAAGAATAATCTAAAGTAAATATGTAGACGTCCCCTGGTGTGAGTAAATGTAAACATACAAAAATCCCCTACGCACAAATATACAGACACCCGTACACACCCACATATATATATACAAATTCACAACCACAAACGCAAACACACACGCACACGTGTACACAGACACAGATATATATATATAATATACAGGTTAAACCAATTATAAAAATTATACCAACACACACATATATATATATATCTATACATACATATAACAAACATATACAAATACATATAAATATACATACGCACACGCACCCACACATATATATATATATAAATATACAGAATATACAGATTATACACACACACACAACCACAGACACACATATATATATATAAACATATACATAGAGATATAAATATATATTATATGTATACACACACACATACATGCATGCATGACTACTAAAACATACATGCATACATACATACATACCCCTATGCATACATATACATACATACATACATACACACACACACACGCACACACACATATATATATATAGATATAGATATATATATACATATAACAAACATATACAAATACATATAAATATACATACGTACACACCCACACAAACACATATATATAAATATACAGATTATACAAATTATACACACCCACAGGCATATATATATATATAGATGCAT